GCAGATTCACCTTGGACCGGAATGTCGTACCAGATAGTGCATTTACAGAGATGCGAAATTACGTGTAAATGCGCCTCTGGCACGGCTCCAGGCCCTGCGTGCGCCGGGCCAATTAAGAAACGAAAGAACAGGCGGGCGCACGGACAAACGGCGGCCGGGGCTGCAGGCCGCGTCACTTTTCGCACCATTTATATTTTGTCGCATATTATAAATTTCGGCTTCCGATCTTGCAACCTTTACGTCTGAATCAACGAATTCAGAGTAAAAAATTAGGAGTAGAGAGAATGAAATAGAAAATAATCAGAGCTGTCGTGCGTTGTGAAATAATTTTAAACGGTGCAAGATTTGAAGCTGAAGTTTTGTACAAATCAATAAATTAATTTGACAGAAATCATGCAATTTTATTTTGCTTGAGGAAAAGAGTGAAACAAAGTATTGAAAGATTTCAGCGTGATAATCGAGGAGAAAAATAAATAAATAAAAGGGCAAATAAACAGGTCATTTACACCAATAGAAAGAAAGAGAGATAGACGAGCAGAAGCAGCAAAAGAAAGAAGCCAGAGAGGCGGCAGGCACGAGAGCGAGCGAGAGAGAGCGAACGCGGCGCTCGCTGCCGGTTCCCCTCGCAGCATACTTTTGTTCTACTAATACTGAATAGTAGAAGTGAGTGAGCAGCGGCTTTTTAGTGAAATATAAAAATAGACAGGTGTCTAATAGGAGCTTGCTTCTCCGTGCTGCCGAAACTCTAACTTTTAAGTGACAAAAAGCTATTTTCAGTCAACGCCGCTGGTGCGTGTGTTTGTGCGATACACAGACGGAGAACGCGGCGCGTAAAGCGCGCGGCCGATTGTCTCCGTCGGCTGAGCCTATTTCGGTTGGCCGCACCGCGCCTGATTAGCATTCGCCCGCTAAAAATTGTAATCGGCGGCGGCCGCGGTGGTGCCGAGCGACCCGACAATGAATTCACAATGCGCGAATTATGAATACAAGAATGGACGCGCGGCGGCGATTGTCATCAACACACACTGGCTGTGACACTCTCTGCGGCGACGAACACACTCGCGAGGAAACGGTCCTTCGGATCACACAATGCCAACTGACCAGCACCAGAGTCGGTCTTGAGCACTTTGCGAGCAGACTGCGTTCCGGCCACTGCTCAGCTACATATAGGGCAGCGCACCGAGCCACTTGGCATGCATTATGCACCGCGTGCGGTGCAGGGGAGGGGGGCACACACACACACACTAACACGCCGAATGCACTTTGCTACTTGCGGTGCACTTGAAGGTAAAAGGTTATTGGCAGGCCCCTTAATTAGGGCACCTATGAGCGCGGCGGTTGCGAGAGCGCCTGCCAGCGAACCAACCTCGCGCGGGGTTGCTTCACGAAGGGGGCGCGCGGAGGGAGGGAGGGAGGCGCAGGGGAGCACGTGGGTCTGGCCCGAATTCCCAGCTGCTCGGGCTCCGCGATCGGGTCAAATTCGGAAAAAAATTATCTCGAATCGGAATGAAAACGAAAGCTTTCAAATAATCTATTTCGAGCAAATGTTAGTGGAAGAAACTCGATCGGCGGGACGATAATTAGCGGAATTAGCGTGCAGTGGCAGGGTAAAGGCTGAGCAATGTCGCATGGCAGTGTTAAAAATAAGGCCGCCGACTGCAGGAGCGAGAAAGAGAGGAAGGTGTTTTTTGGTGAGGAAAGCATTTTCCAAGGTGCAAAGTGCTGATGTCTCGAGTTCCCAAGCGCGAAATAAGCTGCACGCCGCAAGAAACCAGAGGTACAAAATCCGGTCGACCACCGTTCGGCGGTGGAAAAAAATTCGCGTTCGCCACAAACTATACAGAAGTTTTGATTTAATTTTTTTTTTTTTAAAAACCAAGAAATTTGAAAACATTTTACATGCCTAAATGAAAAGCTTTTCAAGAAAATTTATGTTAATATTTTTAACTCAAATTTTGTTTGCATTTTTAATTCAATATTTTAATTACTTATCTCGTTATAGACAGAGATTGCCTTGTGGTACACCAATAAACTTAATTTGCAGCTAGACACGAGGCCGGTGAAAAAATATGACGAAGGGAGAAAAAATAATTCGCGGTCAAAGGCAAAGGTCGCGGCGGGGTCGGTTCCGCGATAAGCGCGTGTCTGCTCTGGGCCGATTTTTGCCGAAGAAAAATTTTCAATTCTGGCTGACGAGAAGTTGGGTTATTTGATATATCTCGGGCGATATCAGTGATAAGAAGAGCGACTGCTGGTGCGATATCAGCAGCGGCCGGGGCAGAGGGAAAAATTTAACATCCTCCCACTCCGAAATAGGCTCAATTTACAATATGGCGCGTTCGAGAGTGTAAATTATTGCCAAGTCATATAGGCGCATAATTTCTGAATTAATTTGAATCCGATTTGAGAATAAGAAAGAAAAAGAAAGAAAGAAAGAGCGCGGCCGGCGTCGAATGGGAAACGGGCGTAGACGCGAGGAAATATTCAAATTTGAAATCACATGACTTAACACCCAGCAAGCAAGCTATGTACGTGCAATAGCAGCAGGCAAAAAGGAGGAAGCCCATCCATGATACATGTCGTGCGAGGAAACCTTAAGAAATAAAAGTGGCAAGGAGGCGAGAAGCGAGCCTGTCTTACAATCCCATAAGCCGCGCGTACAAAATCGCAGTGCATCAACTTAATTGATTCGGGCGGCCGACGCGACAAAAAGTGGGTCACGCCGAAATCGCAAAAAAAAATAGAAAAAAATTATTACAAAATACATAATAATATGGAATGCAGACATGTACCTCGCACGGCCAGGGTAAAAATTAGAGAGGGTCGTGCGCGGGGCGAACACAACGTGGTGGGCCCGAGGGACCGAAAATTGGCAGCAGCTGCTGGTGTGGGTCTGTCGGTGTTGCGGCACACGCACTGCGGGTAGCACTGCCTTTGCTTTGCTCAGTCAGATGACGAGGGTATATTCTCGTAGTTGGCACACGGGTAGGTATTTCTCTCTCAAAAATAAAATGTGCTCTCGACAAAAAAGCCGAGCCAAAGTCTCTGCCAAAGTCTGTGCGCGGCCGGTGCGCGCCCACGAGGCTGGAGGCGGCGGTCGGAGGCCGGCCGAGAGGCCGAGGGTCGACGGCCATCCTGGTGCTCACTGACTTTAGGACAGACCCCTGGACGAAGAAGCGCTCGCTCGCTCGTTTGCTCGCTGCCACGAAAAAACCGGCAGGGAGGGGGCACCACCACTCGTCGCGCGTTCCGCGGCGGCGGCGGCACAAGAAGCTAATCTCATTAGCGGCGCGAAAAGAGGGGGACTCGGGCGACCGGCCGGTGACAAAATCAAGAGCGCCACGTGACCCCCGGGCGGCCCGGCACGGGCCATCGAGGGCCCCTCGCGGGCCCCCCGCGGGCCCGCGCAGGGCCAGACGCCGGGCATTAATCTCTCCGCGCCAAAGGCCGTCGACCGCGCGACATCCGAGCCGTCGACGCTCCCCTGCCGCCGCTAATGCATTTTTAGCCTGCATGCGACGGGTTTCTTTATTTCTCCGCTTCGTGCAACCAGGCTAATTTAATAATTGGCCGAAATAAATAAAAATATGCAGGCGCTTTTGCGCTGCCAAGACGGGGGAAGCCCTCCAACTGGGCACAGTTGATGCATTTTTCTTTCTGCCGCCTTTCACGCATTCGTTTAAAATGGGACAATGCCCTCCTAGCTCATTCCAAGTGCAAAAATGTTCCTACCTATAAACACTCGACCCACATTGTTTTAATGTTTCCCTTCGAAAATTACGTAAAAAACGCACTCTTGTTTGATACCAGACGTAATAATAGTTGAATTTGTTTCACGCTCAATTTAATTTGTGAATTATTCAGACTGCTTGATAATTTTATGGAGCAAAGTAGTTTTTCATTTTTCATTCGTTTCCAGTGGGCACACAAAAAAGGCGCACTAGATTTTTGATTTATATTTTCCCTCTAGCGAGGATAATTGCAAAGGAGAGTAATTAAATCGCAGTCGGACGTGATGATTCCATCTAGCGAAGAACTGAGATACCACCAGCTGTGTTCACTGATTATTTTCGAGACAGAGAGCACAGGGTGGCTCCCTGTTCTGCGCGAGCAGTTTCTTTCTTTCTTCGCAGGCGCACCTTGACGGTGTTTTGTTTTCTTAATACTATTTTTCTTTTAATAAAATTTGATTGGAAAAATTGCAGGACAAATATGACCAACCCATCAAGATAAGCGTTGCGTATTTTCCACAGTAGAAAAAAATTAAAACTTTCCGAAAATAAAAGCAGTTCAAATTTTTTTGAATTTGGTTCAATTTTTGACACTATAAGAAGAATAAAAAAAATAGTAATACTCTAGGAGAATGGCAGTGCATACTCAATATAAATTATTTTTAGCACAATGAAATTGTAGATAAAAATCTAATTAATATTTGCACTCCAGACCATTTCAAACTGCTTCTATTTTGGTCCGACTGTTCCCGAGCGAAGAATGCGTGTATAGGCAACACGCTGCACTTACCTGCGCAACGGACAGTCTACTCTGCAGGAGCTCACCGAGCGAAATGAGAAGCTGCTGCTCTGGAGTCGGGCTCGGATGCTGCTCTGATTCAGCGGAAAAAACCCCCCAGCTGAATGAATCACCAGCAGCAACCCCACACTAAACGTTACTCATCTCTGGCTCTCTCTGATAATAAATTATATATCAAAAGAGAGCGAACGCGGCAAGGCTAAAAAGTGGCAATGAGGAGGAGTCAGCACACTAGGCGGCGGTTTCGCCTGATGAATTGAGGTTGGGGTAATGAGCTTTTTAACTCGGCCTCTCTTTTTTCAGCGAGAGGAAATTTACTTTGCAAATAATGATGCTACTTTGGAGGTTGAAATGCGCGAATAAATTTTGCTCCTCCATTCCAATAATTTTTTATAATCATGGTAATAAATGAATTTTTCAATATTTTTGCAAATTTTAAATATTATGTTGTTTGATTCCATCATACTTACAGTCTGTTAGAAGACTCTAGCGAATCCTTGTCCTTGTCCCTCTCTTTGGACTCGTTCATCAAGCGGTAGATTTTGCCAAAGACCACATACTCGAAGCTGTCAGCCCGGGATGGCTCGTTTTCAGCCAGGGGATTGTACTCCCCGGAATCTGGGTACCCATCTTCACGCAGCGTTGTAGCTAAAACCAGTCGGAACTTGTCACCTGCGAACATAAAAGTAGATAACATTTAGAAAAAATTTAATTTTCCTCAAAATGAAGCTAGAAATTAAAAATTGGTGCCAAAACCAGCTACTCGAATTTGTGAATTTTTGCCCGATAAAATATCGAATTTAATTATAATTATAGTAATGAATCTTCGACTTATTCTAAAAAATTGAATCCCTTACTCCCTTGAATTATTCCTATATTTTTCACGATTTGGTAAGAATTTAAAAAATGGTGGAAAAACCAAGATGGCCTTTCGATGAATGCAAAGACTGTGATTACTATCAAATCTCCAGCAAATCGCTTTTGAAACGGTTGAGAAAATATTGCATCTGCGAGTGTGAGGTGCAAAAGAAAGGCTTGCACTGAGCCTTTGTGTTTCCACCTGCGACGCGAGAGCGGGCGTCGGCCCCGAATTCGCAGACGCGCCGGCCCGACTTGCAGACGCGTCCAGCAGCCTGCATCTAAAATCGCATTGACCGTTTTCATTATTACATTAAGCGAGTGGAGGGGGGCAATCCAAGGCCTGTGTACTCCCGAAAGCATGGTCAGCGCAATTCAAGGTCTCGGTACACGCCGCTTTGTGTCTACGTTCGTGGACCCACTCTCAATTTGGCGTCAAGTAGCGGTGAGAGATTCGTTACTCCGACACCCAAACGGCCGACGGGGATTCCCAAAGGGAAAAGCGCACCGGGGATTTTTACACAGGATTTCAAAGGACTGAATAAAATTTCAGAATTCATAATTTTAGAAATTTAAAATGGCTCAAATTAATTATGAATCTCTTAATTACCTTCAAATTTTCATGATTTTTAAATTACTTTAAATATTTATAAAACAGTTCAATTTTTTCAAATGTTCTGCACAGATATAAATTCTAAAATTTAAAAGAATATTTAAAAAAATATATAGTTTTTCAACTGTAAAAATAAAAAAAGCTATAAATAAACTGAAAAGATTTCTTCAATCTTATAAACATGTGAATCTTTGTAAATTTTATCTAACAAATGAACAGAAGTCATCTGGCAGTGAAATCCATCTGTAAAAGCGATGATACGGATCGGCAGCAGATATTATTGTGTTTGCTTTTTTGATCAAAAGCCCAATTAGCGGTGGGAAAGCTCTCTCGACAGCAGTAAGCATCTCACACAGGCCAGGTGGTTAGTTTCGCCACGTCTAGACGCCACGCCAGGTGAATTTCGCGCAGATAGACAATGTAGCAGGCCGACTGTAAGTACACACGTACTTACAGTCTCTGTAAGCAAGTTGACTTTTCTCTCGGGCAACCTTGAGACGCGAGGCGCACATCACATTTTTTCAATAATCATCAGCGTCATTTATTTCGCGCCGTCATAATCGAATCGCGCCGTCCGGCCCAGACAAAACAAAACAACCAGTCGGTGCATTTTTTTTTTGGCGCAGACGAGCAATCAAGACACCGCAAATTGTGTTTCCTCGCCAAGCACCGGTTCAAAAGAGGCGTCAGCTCGAATTGCAAATTTGAAGGATTTACAAAGGCGCAAATACCCATAAAGCATCATTAACTTGAGCTGTAATAATAATCAAAGCAAAAAATTTGAGAAGAAAAATAAGCGAATAAATTAAATTTAAACGGAATGAAAATCACCAACTTAAAAATTTCCCAGATCAATGAAAATTTTTGAAAAATTTGAACCAGTAAAATGTGAGATTTTGATTTTATAATTGTTATAATTACTTAATTTTGTAATCAAAGATTCATTATTTGATAAAAGTTTACCTAAAATTTTATGAAAATGATGGCCTTTGTTAAGGAATTTATTAAATTGACCATAAAAATTTAAGCAAAAATCAATATAAGTAAATAAAGAGAAAAATAAATACCGCTCAATAGGTCTGGCAGACAAAATTTTCGCAAGCAGAATACGAAATAAAGCGATAACACGATTTTGGAGACAAACCAAACATTATTGAGCAAGTTTATACAATAACCGTGATAAGGAATTGATATGATCAGCACGCGTTATCAGAAACAAGCTTGCTTGCTTTAGCATCATCCGCAGCAGAGAGAAAGGAAAACGTGGAGTGGGCAAATAAAAGGCAGCTCCAAACACAATTAGGGCCAATAAAATAATTTAGAGGGGCGGAGAGTCCTCTGAGGCGCCCGAGGGCGGATTCTATCCTGAGTAATTGAATCCATAAATACCTGCTGCCGTATTTTGTATTCGTTCGTTGTGGGTTGGTCGGTGCTGAGTTAAGGTTTTTTTTCGTGTTTTATGGCGCACGCAGCAGGCACCAGACCCGTACTCCCATCCACTGTTCATATTATGACGTCTGCGACACACACAAAGTTTATTCCGCCGCCGCAAAAATGTGCTCAGCTCGACGCAGCAGTTTTATTTAATACGCAGAGGCGGACGGACGTTGAATTTAGGCAAAATTTTATATACGCAGACTGCAGAGAGAAACAAGCATGTGAAAATTATCAACATGATGGAATTTCTAAAATTATTATTATTAATTTTTTTTTTACATTTAAAACGATGAAATTAAAATTTGTTTTACGAGTTAAATTGGCGGTTTCATTTTTATCTTGAGACTTTATTTTACCTTTTTTTTCTTTCTTAAAACTAATCAATCCTTGGCAATATTTCCATGTTTGAATTTGTTACATTTGGCAAACGTATAGATCAGAATTTTGAAAGCTGGATACTTATTTTTTATTCCAACAAATTAATAAAAAGTTAAACAAACAAATAATTTAAAATATATCGACTGAGAGGAATAAATAAATAGTAACTTTAAATATGGGCCAGTGAAATGAAAATTCTGAATCAATAAAAAAATACTTGTCCATTTTACATTAAATTTGAAATTTGGAAATCACGTTTTTATTGCAAATTAATAATTAATACACGGATTGCATCATGGCGGAATGCATTTCAACTATTGGCGTGTATCAATAACACAAGTGTCGCGACACACGATAGCCCGTAACGGTGGTGTCAAGATAAGTTGTGCAAAAAGTTTACGACAAACCGCCGAACGCAGGGCTGCTTTATTAGAAACGCAAACATTAATAAAGCCCTTTTATGCTCGGAATTTGCATTTGCATGTTGGTCGGCTCGCGTCTTGTTGCAGGCATTCAACGCATTTGACCTGCACCCGAGTCGCTTTGATAAATAATCTGGGCCGTAAACTCCACCTGCGAGGTGCCCCGGACTCGTTTAGCAGCGACCGCCGGCGTTTTATGGGCTCGTTGGAAAAGTTGCCGGTGGAAAAGTGCTAGCTCGGGTCGTTCGGCGGATTAATTTTTGATAAACGTACGCCAAGGTGCTCCGCCACTCCACTCGACCAAATGAATGCACCGTGGCAGCAGCACAGATTCTAATCCGCACGCTTTGAAAAATGAGTTGACCTAAAAAATTTAGCCGAGTCGTGAAAATTTTATTCAGTTCTGCGCGCCGTTGTTTTGTTCTTGAAGTTTTATTTTGTAAAAAGGGGAGACTTTTATTTCGCAAGTTTCCTTTTTTGAAGATAAAAATGAATTAATTATGTAGAGGAGAGTTTTAAATATTATTCACGCTAGGCTGTGATTATGGAAAACAAGGTAAAAACTGTCAAAAATTATAAGTAAATCTAAAATCGAGAGAAATTTCCAATTAATAACACTTCAAATTTTATTTCATAAGTAGAGGAATAATTAAAGTGCAGTGGACTTAAATAACCAGATCTTTATGGAAAAAAATAATCTACTTCCCCTTTTTTTAGGTTCAGAAATTTTTATTTTGAATAAAAAAGCTTGCTTTCTTAAAAAAAAAAATAATAATAATAATTCGTTTATTTAGAGAAAATTAGTTTTTTTTTTTTTATTTCAATGATCCAAAATTGTATAAATGGAGCTCCAAATTTTAAGTGATTTGGAATGTTTTGAGAAAAATAGCAAAATGTAAATTAAAAAAAGAAATGATTAGTTTTAAAATTTAATATGTTAAAATAAAAATCACTTTTTAATTTGAATTCATTGCTAATTCATGAAATACTTTTGTATCAAAGTGCAAATGAAATCAAGAAATATTCCTTTTTAATGTCAAATTATGTCACCCGCACATGCGAGCTACTTCAGCAAAAGAAAATAAATCAAAGTGAGGTCACGAAAGTAATTCTTTCTGCGAATTGACATAAAATGGAAAATACGATTCCTATAATTTTATTATGTACACTAACGATAAATAATCTCCATGGGTGTAGTGAGCATCTATACGGGTGCACACACGTTTGTATGATAAACGACCTTCGCTTCGACCTCAATTTTCCGCAGCAGTGCACCACGAGCAAGTCCTCTTCGTCCTTGCGAATTGCAAAGTCGCTGCGCAGAATCCGCCACAATCCGCAGTGCACACGAGCGAAAGAAAGGGGGACAACATCTGTTCGCCAAGATGCTTGATACGTGAAGCCCGCGGCGGCGACTGCGGTGCATCTGCCCGCGGAAAGTGCAAGTGGCATTGATCAGCAGGTGCCCGTGCACCTCGCAGGCTTCGCGAGCAAAAAAAAAAAGCGAACGACACGCGACAGAAAGGTGACACTGGCTGCCGCGTCGTGTTGAATACCAATGACACATGATCGGCGAATTAGGATCGAAAAAAAGCGGCCGCGCGTGCTTTCGTCAAAGACACTCGGCAAATGTCTGCGCGTTGCGTGCAAACTCTCATCAAGCACGAGGAACTCGCATAATTTAATTTTTCAGAAATAAAGTAACGGAAATTAAGGATAAATATTAAAATAAAATTATCGCTGTCATTTTGTACTGCATTGATAAAAATTTACTTAATTACTTGAAATTTAGCTTTTTTAATATTAAAGTTGAATTACAAAATTATTCATAATCCAAAATATTGTAAAAGACGAAGAAATTTCCATACAGCTCTTTGAATACTTTTCTGATTCCAAATTACAGATCTTCTCTATCGTTACAAAAAGTGACCAACAAGAAATTAATTTCCAGCGAATAATTAAAA